ATCCATTTATCCATTGAAGGACACCTAGTTGTTTCCACAGCTTGGATATTGTGAGTTGAGCAGCTATAAACATGTAAACATGGAGGTGGCTGTGTCCCCGTAGTGGGCTCTTTTTGAGTTCTTTGGGTATAGACTGAGGAGAGGGATAGCTGGGTCAAATGGTGGTTCCATTCCCAGTTTTCTAAGGAATCTCCATACTGCTTTCCATGGTGGTTGCACCAATCTGCAGTCCCACCAATAATGTATGAAAGTACCTTTCTCTCCACATCCTCGCCAACATCTGTTGTTACTTGTATTCTTTATAATTGCCATTCTGATTGCAGTGAGCTGGAATCTCAGTGTCGTTTTAATTTGCATTTTCTAATTGCTGGAGATGGGGAATATATATATATATATATCTCGCTACCAAACTATGGGCATCATAGTGTCATAGATGGCACATTATGCTTTGTATTTTGCTAGTGTGAATATATATATGTGTGTGTGTGTGTGTGTGTGTGTGTGTGTGTGTGTTGCTGGGGATTGAACAGAGGGCCTTATGTATTTGAGGCAAGCACTCTACCAACTGAGCTATATCCTCAGTCCTTCATGTATTTTTTGATCATTTGTGTTTTTCTTCTGTGAAGTGTTTGTTCAGTTCCTTTGCCCATTTATTGATTGAGTTATTTATTTTTCTGGTGTTAAGTTTTTTGAGTTCTTTGTATATCCTGGAAATTAATGCCTTACCTGAGATGAAGATTTTTTCCTAATCTGTAGGATCTCTGAACACATTCAGATTCAAGGAAATCAATCTTATGTGGGGATATAGACAGTATCACAAAGTGAATTTTGATAAAATAGACATGTAAGGAGTCACATTTACAGACTTAGATACATGTAGGAGACAATATTTCACTAGTTTATTTTCTGTGGGCCAAGAGAAAGAATGCTTCCACTGCTATTCATTTTATTTGAACTTCTTTTTGTGTAACTTGGCCTGAGAATGAGAATGACCATGTGGAGATGAGGTACCATGGCAGGAGTCACCCTGTGTCCTTCCTTCTAAAACGGAGCTTGCTACCAGAATCATGCTGCCAAAGGCAGGCACGACAAGTGTAAAAGGCCCAAATGTGACGTGCCCTGTCATCCCAGGGGCCCTATTTCTTCCACTCAACAGAGTCCCAAGTAAGAGTGTTGTGAATGCTGCACACCATTCCTTGATGACCCCACACCAATGTTCCAAGTCTGAGAGTGTGACCAAGGAGAGCCCCACCCAGCCCTCCTTTCCTCTGAGAATGTAACCTGGGAGAGCCCCTTCTAACCCCTTTTTTTCAATTAGGATTTCAGGCTGGATTATATGAGTAATAAGAAAAGGTAGTATCCAAATATCTGAAAAACACATAAATGCACTGCAAATGCACACAGACGTGTACTCATTAAACTCCTGCTGCAGAAAATCCTATGATGACATAACATGCTAGTGATGGGGTCACATTCATACTTAAGAAAAGACAGATGTGTCCCGCTCCCTGAGGAGTCTCTCTGCAGGGGCCCAGCCACCTTCACTTCCCCACTGCATAACCCAGGGTATCTGGAAGCCCTTCCCAGAGGCCTCTTAGATGGAATAAAGCTCTGTGCATCAGAGGGAGTCACGTAGCTGGGGTTGGGGGCAGAACTGAGGTGTCCAAGGCAGTCCAGTTCTGGAGAGGCAGCAGAGCCCTGAACTTCCTCTTCAGAAGGCAAAAGCAGCCCTGAGGTGTGGCTCTGAAGACCTTGCTAGAGTCTACCTTTAGCCCCTCAGTTCTGGACACTGCAGGGGCCCTGAAGCCATCCTGTTTGGTCCCACCAGTTTCAGCCTTGGTCCTTTGTAGCTATCACAGTACAGACTGGTTGGGAGCAGCCACTGCCAGCCTCCAGCTAAGAGGGGGAACTGTGGGTGGTGACTGATCTGATTTGGTTTCAGGCAGTGTGAACCCTGCTGGCGCTGAACACGAGGCACACAGAAGCAGAGAGGAAGCACAGGGTCAATGTGACTAGGCCCTGTGGGTGCCCTGTCTTCTGTGGACGAAGTGGCAGCCTCCTGAGTCTTTATGATGAGGAGGGACCAAGCTTGGTCAGCTGCTTCTACATGTGCCGGAGCATCAGAGGAAGGAGGCAGTGAGCTCAGCTTTGATCAGCTCTTGGCGGAGGCATCTATGGCCACCTTTAAAGAATGTCTTAGTTCTCATCTGAAATTAAGCACAGGTGCCAGCTTTCTTTTGAATGGCGTCAGCACGTTACACTTTCTGTGTTGTTTTACTTACATTTTATTCATTTATTTTTATTGTGGTGAGATATATGCCTTAGTCTATTTGGACTGTGATATCAAAACACTACAGACTGGGTGGCTTACAAACTACCAGCATGCGTTACCCATAGCTGTGTGTGTGTGTGTGTGTGTGTGTGTGGCTTGTGGGAGGGTGTCAGGTCCACTGATGGCGACTTCTCTCTCTGTGCTCACGTGGTCTGAGGGCGATGAAGCTGTCCTGGATTCCTCTTATAAAGGCAGAAATCCCGTTATGAGGCTCCATTCTCAAGGCCTCACCTCCTCCCAAAGCCCTCACCTCCTGAGACCCTCACGATGAGAGTTGGGGTTCAACATGCAAATATTGGGAGGACACTTCACTAGCAAAATGGAAAAACATAATGTGCCATTTATGACACTGTGCTGCACGTAGTTTGGTAGCTCCTCAGCCCTTGTTTGCTAAATAACTGTGACAATGAGCATATCTTTTGTTAAAGTATTTGATTTTTTGGTCTTGTTTCCCGGAGCAGCTTAAGAACAGCTTCAAAATCATACAGATGAAAGGCAATCTGTTAAAATGATGTGATACTGTTATAACGTCGAGAGTGTTAGGACTAGAAGCAGCCTCAGAAAACAAAGTGTCCCTGATTGCGGCTCTTACCTTCCCTCTTACCTGTGGCTCCCTCTCTCTAAGACAGGAAGGCCATAGAAACCAGACTCTCTCATCACATTTTTGTAAAGAAAAAAAACACAGAACTCCAAGAAATGCCGATATTTGTAGGGATGTTCACAGCAAGACACGTTGGCAAAGGAGTCAGAAGAAAAGGCTCAAGGGCTTCAGAGAAGCCAGGTCTTGTGAAGCCACAGTCCAGTGCACACTGCCACATAAGGTGCCCAGGAGCCCAGTGTGTCCAAGAGATGGAGTCATTCAAGACCTTTCATGAGGCAGAATGTTGGGGAGGATAAGGCTGGTGATGTGCTGAATGCGGCTTGGTGTGCAGCTGACATCCACTTTGAGGCACAAAAGGTAGAAAGTGTTTACAGTGCAGAGTGGTGTAGGTGAGGACTGAGGTGTCCTCAGTCACCGAGCGGATATCTGGGAGGGACTTGTCAGCACTGCCCTCCCCAGTAAGCAAGGTACAGTAACTTACACAGTCTGTTTGCAAACGTCACTTTTACAAGTGCCTCCAAATGCACCAGGACAGATGTGGCTCGTAAAATCACAGCCCTTCAGGTATCAGGAACCTGACAAGGGCTCAGCCGAGGAGTAGGGACATGAAGGATGACAGGAAGTCTGCAGTGATAAGGTCTCCCCTCGGCCACTCCCTGGGATTTAACGTCAGTCTATCACTCCATTCTGGGTAGGGGAGCTACCGAGTGCTTGCTGTGACTAAATCAGGACACATTTGTCCTTTGGTGCATAACAGAAAAGCTAGCAGGGAAGGGCCAGGGTGTGGGACCTCCAAGGTTCCAAGGACCGCCCTGTGTCAGAGGTGAAGATGACAAAAGAGAAGGGAGAAGAAAGGAGACAACAGAAGTACCCAGCCTTAGATTGTGAGGCTGGTTCACTGTGCACACGGCCCTGGCTGGTCCGCCCTGCTCCTCCCTGATCTCTCCCCCTCCCTAATCTCAGGGGAAACGGGATCACCTTTCTCCCCATCCTAGGCAGAGTTACCTGTCCTGGGCACACACCCACCACAGAAGCCACGTAATCAGACTTTGGGGATGGCACCAGAAGACCTCAGAAACGACCATCTCCCAAGTAAACAGTGGATCACAACTCAATGGAGCCCACGTGGAATGTAGGCTTTGAGTCACCTCTTGAAAGACCCCTGTTCCTGCTGATGGCAGAATCACAGCCTCTGGGCCTGGAGTCCCCTGTGTTTCTCGTTTGCTAGTGAAGCCATAAACCTTCTTTTTATTTTTTTTTCCTCAAAACTGTGACCTCATTATTGGATTGGCATCGGGGACAAGGACAGAGCTTTCCGTAATAAAATCTTACAGAAGCACTTGTCCCATGCCAGTGACTTATTCTGGCCACACGGGGGCCTTTGTCAAGGTGTAAGCACGCAGGCTGAGCAAAGTGTACCAGTGCACCAGGACTGGTGGGTTGGGGCTTTGCTCCAGATGCTGCTCCCCAGCTTCACATCAGCAGCAGCGACTGAGGCTTGACCCCAGACAACCGCCACTTTTCCTGTGATACTGGTTCCTCCTCCTGCAATCCTGGCTGTGTCCAGGAGCCCAGCAGGCAGGTGGTGCAGCTGCAGACCCCATTGTCATTGCAGCTGCCCAGCGGCTTCACACACACCTCATCTGTCCTGATGTGGTTCCTGCAGGGATAGTTGGACATGGCTCTGGGTGCTTAATAAGCCAGGGTCCCTGCCAGTCCTGGCCACCACACCCCCTTACAGTAAGTGTCCAGCTTCTCCAGGTCACTACTTGGAGGGTCGGCAATCACACAAGATATGCAGATGCACAGGTACATGTATGCTGCACTCGATAGTAGGTGCTGGCACCTACCCCACATGTGTCCCCAGCTGGAACTGGGAAGAATGACCTGAGGCCAGGGAGAAGCCATGAGCTAGCCTTGCCGTCGGGTTCACTTGATGCTTCGACTGTACCCCTCTTGGCTTTTTCCCAAACTTCTTCTCCCTGACCTTCCCCCTCCCCCGCATCTTCTTCTCCCTGACCTTCCCCCTCCCCCGCATCTTCCTCACCCTGAACTTCCCTTCCTGATCTCTCCTCACTGATGTCTTCTTCTGTGAATCACCTCTATAAAAGCTCCTGTTCCTGTGAAGGGGCAGAATCATGACCTTTGGGACGGAGTCCCCTGTTTCTTCTTTGCTAGCAAAGCTACAAACTTTTTCTCCTGTTCTTCAAAACTGTGTCCTCGTATTGGATCAGCATCAAGGACAGAGGTTTTGGCAAAGGCCTCCTGCCGATCGGAGGCCATGGTACAGACTGAAGACCCAGGGGTCTCCCAGGACAGGACAGAGGCACACTGATGCCAGCCAGGGTAGAACCTGGGAATGAATGGCAGTCTCCACCCACCCTCATCTCCCCGCATGCAGGAAAAACAGCAAACAAACCCTTCACCTTATGGTCAGCCACCTTCCAGAATCTGCGCAGGACTCGGGATGGCTTTTAAGAACGACTTGCCAGATTAAGAAAGCTCATTAGCAGACTTTCTTTGTCCCTGAGTTTAGTGCACAAAAAAGGGAGATTCACCTATCCAATCCTGACTTGAAGAGTTAGAAAACACAGGATATTATAATTGTAAAGCCTCTTGAAATAAGTATCACAGGACAGATCCAAAACTGAACGTGGCTGAATTTTGAAAACCCAGTAGGTACAAACTCATTGCCCTACTCACATCAATGAGAAGCACATGCAATTTCTAGAAGGACAATCTTCAAACTAACAAAGAATGTGCCCAAATAAATGTGATGTTTCTACGAGAATAATTTCTGAAATATTAGCTATGTTACTTTAGCCTTGAAACATTGGCTCTTGGCCCAGGCTTAGCACTCTCCTCAGACGAAACTCTTGAGAGACTGCCAGTATTTTCAAGGTCAGAATAATACATCATGGTCTCTTAGATGCTACGGCTGGAGGAAAACTAGAGACACCACTGAACAGACACCTTCAGTTCACCTGAAGGCAACACTCTTCCCCCAGGCCATCATCCAGGGGTCATGGTTCTGACTCAGCTGCTCTGAGCTTCCACCTCGGCATCGTGGCTCCTGAGTTCTGAGACTAAAAGGAGGGGATGCAGGCCCTGCCTGCGAGGGATGTTGAGCAACCTGTGAAAGGAGAAGTGCCCCAGGGCGTGAGCCAGCACCCGACAGCCCTGTGCTCTGCCTCTTCATCCAGTCCCCAGCCCCAGGCTCAAACGTCTTTTCTTACTCCTAGGTGTTGAACTGTGTTCCACCCTCAAGAGACTCGTTACAGTGCTGACCCAGGACTCCAGGGTGTAGCCTTAGGTGGAGATGGGGTCTGTAGAGAGGTCATCAAGGTAAAGCAAGGCCACAGGGTGACATCTGATCCAACAAGACCAGTGTCCTTCCAAGCAGATGAAGAGACATCAGGAAAAGGCCATGTGGGGACACAGGGAGAAGATGGCATCCACAAGCCGAGGAGGGCAACCTCAGAGAGACCATCCCCACCGTCACCGCTGTCTGCACCTTTCAGCTTCCAGACCTGTGAGGAACAGATTCCTGTCTGCCATAGTTTGTGACTGGCCTGTGTGGGGGCTGCCCTGATAAAGTGACACACGTACTGAACACAGGGCGTGCCAAGCTCTCCTGAGCACCGAGGAGTGGTGTCAGTAGCCACCGCGCACACGCTGGGCCTCCTTTCCAGCACTTCAGCTGCTCGACCTCTTACCACACAGGGGCTCCTCTTACGCTACTCCCAGTTCTCCGCTGCAGCTTTCTCTGGTGACAGTCTGAGGTCGGCACTCTGGTCAGAGCACCCCCTCACCCTCCCTCAAGTGCAGGCACCACCTGCATCCCACATGGAAAGCCAGAGCCTGCAGGAGCACTGAGGGGCGTCTACAGCAGTCTCTACGCACAAGGCACCACCCAGGTGAACACAGGCAGACCTGCACTCCAGCCTCCACAGATCCCCCGCCACGGCCCCAGGTCTGCCTGTGGCCTCCTCGAGGACCCGGGTCACGTGACTATTAGGGTTACAAAGGAGGTTGGAGAACAGAGTTCATCTGGGTGTCACAGGAAGCTGGGAACCCTGATGTGGGGAACAGTGAGCACTCTCCTGGTCACTGAATACCTCATCTATGTTTCTCCATAGAAGAAACCAAAAAAGCCCTCTCCAAGGAAGAGACTGAAGTTCCTTCATGTTACTGCATTCAGTTCACAATTCAGGACATGGGCATGATATTTTCTGGGCCGTGCCAAGCCGAGAGATGTTTTTTTCTTGGACTAAGACCCATGACTAAACAAATGCTGATTACATTCCCTCAGCGCCCATCCCACCAAAGGTAAATCATGGGGCAGCAACAGGATTTTCCCAGTCCAAATAGAGGGGCACAACCTGAAGTGGCAACACAGTCTCCTGACAGTAACAGGAAGCACTGGGTCATTCCCGAGTACTGCAGGTCTGTCCCAAAGGGGACGTGTCCAGCACCTCCCTGACGTCTGGACTGAGCACCAGGAAACACCCCCCTCGGGGTCTGTAGCCATCACAGCCCACTTTCTAGTTAGGGTCTAATTCAGACTCCAAAAGCATCCTGGGCTTTGGAGATCCCTTCCAGTGGGCTGCTGCTGCCGGAGACCACACCAGAGTCCCTTTTCCTGCCTTTGTGGATCGCTTCCATCTCTGCTCTCTGTTATCCTTCCTGACCTCCTTCTGTCAGATGAAGACCTGGACTTGGGTGAAACACTAGGCTTGATGGGAAGGCCACATCCTTAACCTGATCTTCACCCCGGAGCACGAATCCCTTGCGCTCTGACAGGTCTCAAAGCCGGTGTCAGTCAAATCTTTCAGTCTTTTTATTTATTTGTTTGTTTATTTATTTTTAGTTGTAGCTGGACACAACACCTTTATTTCACTTGTTTATTTTTGTATGTGGTGCTGAGGACCGAACCCAGGGTCTCACGTGTGTGTGGCGAGCGCTCTACCGCAGGGCCACGTCCCCAGCCCAAATCTCTCAGTCTTAATCCTACTACAAAAGTGGCTGGCTTCTCCGACCCTGCAGAGCTCCTCTGCTGAAGAGCAGCCAATCCTTGCTGAGCTCCCCACTTTATGGAGTAACTTGGAAAGCACTGACAGCAACAGCCTCCATCACTCGGCCTTTCCCTGATTCTTCTGTGGAGCCACAGATTGGGGGTCTCACCTGCCTTCTAAGTGACAAGAGGAGACAGCTTTATCAAATGTCCTGTGCCTCCTGAACTAGGGGATCTTCCCAGCTGGCCACCCCTCCCTGCTCACATTGTGTGATGCTGCCAACAGGTGTTTCAAGTTGTGTTGAAGCAGCTCACCACTTCTTTGTACAGACTTCCTGGGTCCTCAGCTCCACCAAGCATTTTAATAAGCAGGTCACAATGTGACATTATTATCTGAAGAAATAATGAGAATGATTTCTCCCTCATAGCAGCTGAAGGAAGGTGTTCTGCTCTGCTGCCACTGGCAGGGAGTGAGCCGACATGGGGATTCAGGGGTCCAGCTCTTTCTCTATGGATCTGCTCTCTACCATCGCAGACAGCTGCATCCAAGGCAGTGTGCAGAGAAGCTGTGAGTGGGTCCTGTCTCATTGGTCAGGACAGCCCGGGGGGCTGGGAGCACCTTGCTGTGTGGGGAGGAAGAGTGAGGTTTGGTGAGTAGCCAGCAGTTATCCATGGAAACCTGCTGGAGGTCACTCAGCAGTGGAGGAGTGCAGTTTGAACCCCGTCCCCAGGCATGAGGTCGTATGGAAGGCTGGGCATGTGGGCAGCGTCTTCAATATGCAGACTCGGCTGCCTGGTGTCATGTGCCTGCAAGGCACATCTTACGGCTGAAGCGGTGATTCAGCAGGTGTGTGGGGACCTACATTTTTAAAAAGCCCCAACATTCTAGTAACAGGGTTCTGGAATAGTAGGATTTGGTGAGGGAGCTGGCACATCAAAGAAAGATCACAGATCAACCCAGAGCCTTTTTTGGGAAGCCTTGAAGTGGGCTGTTCTGTGACTGTGACAGTGGTCAGGCTGGGGAACATCACTCAGGAGGCAGTGGGCACAGGTAGTCCCCAGCCCTGGGTGTAGACAGTCCTTTCTTTGTACTTCTGGTGCTTAGCTTGTATCATCATTTCAGAACTAAGGATCCTAAAACCTTGTTTAAACACAATGAAACTGTCTAGGACGGAAGTTTCCAAGGACACCTTTTTGCAGACAGTTAATAACACTGACCACACATAACTGGATTCTTGTCAAATCTGCCTTCTGTCAATCGCAGCTTCCTTAGGGAGCATGTCAGCCTGCTTACCTAACCTGGCCACGCCCGCAGCAACCTCGTCCTTCTTGATGTGCCAGCCACCAACCGGAGAAGCCCTGCTCCTCTGTGAGCTTGTTCCTCCACAGAAGCCACCAGAGCAGTCAAGTCTGCTTCCTCTGCTCCTCTCACCGTCAGGTCGACACCTCTCGGAAGTCAGCTGTCCTCACTGACCTGCAGCCTGCTCCTGGAAGGGCAGTTTTAACCAGCGGTGTCCTATTTTCCTATCTGCATTTCAGTAATCGCCATCATTCCAGGCTCTATTTGTACCCCCTGCCAGATTCAGAGATGGCGGTGCCTCAGCCATTCTAACTGAAGAACACACACCCATCTGCCCTCCGAGACTGTGGACATGCTCCAACATGAGCCACCTCCTGGTACTGGGTTTGTCCGTCTGAGACCAGGATGTAGAGAATGTCTCCAAAGTCCTGGCTCCGGGTCTTTTTGCTTGTTCTACCCAGGCAACGGAGAGTGCAGCTGCACCAGGCTGGAAACCTTGGTCACCCTGGTTACAGGAGCACTCCCACACAGCCCAAAGCTGGGCCTGCCCTGCTCACTCCCATGATGTGGTGCCCCTGTGACCCTGAATAGGGTGATCACTCCTTTCAGCCTGCAAAATTCCATCTGTAAGAGAGAAAATATGTTCCTCGACAGACTGATAGAGAAACAAATGAGTGATAACTTGAAAAGCATTTTGCTCTGAGAACTTGGTTCAGAGCCTCTGGCTGCACCACAAGTTACCAAATGGCCAGTCTGTCATTAGGAATGGCACCACAGACCAGTTAGATGTCCAGCAATGGTGATCAAGAGCACTGAGGCTAGAAATAACCCCACCTTTGCATCCCACTCTGCTGGTTTCCAGCTGTCTGACCCTAGTTGAATTCCTGAATCATTGAGCTGATGTTTCTCATTAGGGCTCTCATGGATTATAGAAAAAGCACCACTGAGGTTGGCCAAGCACCAGTCCTACGCTGATGAGAGGCATCATCCTATGAGACACAGCTCTGTCACTTCCATCCCACAGAGGAAGTAGCTGAGAGATATCAAATAACCTGCCTGAGACATACACAGTACATGGCAGAACTGTGGGCTAAACACGACAATCTTGGGCAGTGCACTGCTTCAAGAACCAAAGATATGATTGTCTACATTTTGTCTGAGACTTTCTCTTCCTGACTCCTCTGGAGCCAGTGACAGGCAAGCTCCAGGGGGCCAGCTGCAGACTCCTCAGCCCAGGTGAACAGCCATTAACTTCCCCACAGTCTGCTTTCATAAAAGCACCCAGGAAAGCATAAAAGGCTGGGGCGCCAGATGCCTTTCCCCTCCCTCCAGTCTACCTCCTGCAGAGTGACACACAAAGATGTCCTAGATGTCCTAGTGGTGTCTCTTTCTATTCATATTTTCTAGCTTGCCGTCTGGAAAAACTACCAAAGCCAAGGAAAATGCTTTAATGAGATTTTGCTTTAAAGGGGCATTTATCCTCATTTCATATGTGTAAGGCAATACAACCATTCTCAGCTGCACTGAGCTGCTGATTTCCAGTCTTCACTCGGTGCCGGGACATATTATTCGCACCCACTTGCATCTTGTTATAGTGAAGGTGCAGCATGATGAAGGCTACGCTGAACGCAGGGGCTGGCTCCACCAGTAGTGAGGTGATAAGCAACTCAGTGAGACCCTGCCTCTAATAAAACACAAAATAGGACTGGGGATGTGATTCAGAGGTCAAGTGCCCCTGAGTTCAATCCCCGGTACCCTCCTCCCAATAAATAAATAAATAAATAATAAAAGCAATGGACTTTTTGATTTGGCAGAAGAAGTGTATAGACAGCATGGCATTCAGGTGGTGGCACGGATATTGCTGTCCAGGTCCTGGGCATGTGTGCGAGAAGCCTCTGGCCAGTGCTGCTGACCGAGCTCACCGACAGATGGCGCTCTCCAGCACCACCTCACATTGGTTGCTTTTCCCCACTTTTGGTGCAGTGGGATTGAAACTGTTCCAATCTAATTTTGACAGATGCCAATAAAAGCTTGAAACCGTCCATATTTTAAAATACCAGAAATTGTTATTTTTCTTTAAAAAAATTACAGTTTTGTTTCTACCGAGACTTCAAAACAAGTGCTTCCAGGGTCAATGAGTTCGAAAGGAGATGAAGAATGTGACAAATCACTCCAGAACAGCTCAGTTGACTTTTTCAGCTCGCAGGGTTTTGCCTGGGTTCTGCCTTGAAGAGAACGAACCCAGATCATCATTTCCAGTACTCTGAGACCTATTTCTGAATATGCCAGCACATCCTCTCATTTCCTGACAAGTTAGAGCAGAAGACTGAGCATTTACTATTCTCCATGATTCCACATTCAGGCAGACACATTGCTGGAAAACGGGGGGTGATTTCTTGGAACCTGACCATAGGTTCCTTTTTGACATTTCCTTTAATTAATTCTTGTGAAGGAAAAATCTTCAGCTTGGCATGGACCTGCCTCTAATTACTGCTCTGAGGAACAGTGTTCCTACCCTAAAATAAAGTCAGCTGTCTGGGATGCCCCTGAGTGGCTAACTATAAACAACACTGGCAGAGCATCTTTATCAAAATTAAAAATGGAAATGAAGAAATCTGACAGTCCCTGAAGGAGCCATCTTGAGAAAACTGATGTGAAGAAGTTACATTGCACACAATTACAACTCTGATGGCTTTTGTTAGCTTGGTGAAGGTCAATAGCTTGTACCCTGAAGTTTTTCTTTAAAGTTCCCTCTTGCTCCACATCTACAAGACCTTTTTCCAAAGATTAGTCAACTGGTGCTCAATGATGTTAAATTAGTTCTACAAGAAGGAAGGTGTCACCTCTGACTTGTTTCAGTCCTGTCCAGGGAGCCGTGGCTTCGGTCCTCTTTGCTTTGGTCTGAATGCCCTGCTCTTGCAGATTTCCTGCCTCCCATTACACTACCTTTGACACTGCTCTGTTTTCCCAGGCTCATCCCAGACACCTCCACCTTGCTGTGGCCTTCTCAAGTCCCATCAGAGTGAGCGCCTCTTTGCTCTGTGCCCCTAGTCTCATGTGTTGCCTCCTTACCCCAGAGGCTGGGAACTCTCACTCCTCCATTCTCCACTGGTCTAGCTCAGGAGCTAGACACATCCACATGCTACCCAGAGCAAGAGGAAAGCAATACGTGAAAGTGGCCTGCCGGGCACTGAGTTTGTCCTTGCCGACTCCTAAGTGAAGGAGGACTGAGAAAAACCCACAGAGATGGCCTTACCTTTGGTGAGTGTGTATAAGGTTGGACGTCTGTGTGGGCTTTAAAACACGGGCTCTTGGAGATGTGTGACATCAAATGCTCTCATGCTGCTGGTCCCCGTCGCAAGAGGTCATGGAGTACAGGTCCCTAGCGCGGGCACATGATGCTTCATGATCCAGTCCATCCATTAGTTTGTTCTAACTAGTCTCAGTGGATGAGAACTTCCTAAAAAGGACATCATGGTCTAGAATTGAGTCTCCTCAGTTACAGATACAAAGCCACTGAGATTATATCATAGTAATCATACATTTGCTCTGCTGTGATGAGGTCCTGCTCTGGCTTTCTCACAAAAGTATTCTACATTGATCTTTAAGAAGCACCAGCGCCTGCCATTCGAGTGCTAACCTTCTCAGAGGGTCTATTCTCTGACATCTCTTGCACACCTAGAATGTGTCCAGGATCCAGGTGTCTAAAGGATGGGTTAGGCTCCAGGCAGCTCAGCGTGATGGAAGACATTGGTACACACGCCGCTTCCAGACACAGGTGTGTTTGCTGGGTAATGGCTTCAAGTGAACGATGCAATCTTGCTGAGCCATACCTGCTGTTAGTGGGCAAAGTCCTTTAGGATGCTTAAATAATCACTAACCCAAGATCCCAGGAACCCTAGACCCTTAAAGACCTGGAGAGAAGGGCCCCTGCCGCCCAGTTGGGAAGCCAGTGTTGGTTTGCCTGCTCGGCTTCACCCTGTCACTGGGCACTCTGGATATCATTCCCGCGCATGATCCTGTGTGAAGAACAATGGGTGCTATGACAGGAAGCTCCCCCACAGGTAGGAAGTTGGCAGATTGGCACAGGGTGTCCTCACTGGCTATGACTAGTGATGAGCCAGGGGGTGGGATGTTACCAGATGTGGGAAATCTGGACATTGGGGTGTAGTCCTTCATGGTGATTGGCAGTGATAGGTGCAGTAAGGTAACCCTGGTCACAGCCTCTGTCATCCCCTTGCCCTGTGGTCCCAGGCCTAGGAATTCCATCCCCTACCCCGATCTTTGAAAGCAGTGTTCCCATTACCCTCCACAACCTGTCTAATCTCACAAATCAGGATCGACTGGTAGAATGTCGTCGGAACTTTAACAAGAGTGTTGGTCATTTCAGAAAATCCTGAGCCGTTCCCCCTTGGGCTGCTGCTACTGTGGTCAGTCAGGTGCGGATGGGTGCCTATCGGTGCATCCTCTCTCATGACGGTGACTCAGATGTGCACAGGAAAGATGTGCCATCCACACACGTACCTCCCTCTATTCTTCATATGTATTTATTTTGCAGTATCAGAGATCGAACCTGCCTTCCATGCCTCCCCTTCTGGTACCATCTGAGAGTGGGCACAATATGGTCATGTTTGGGAAGGGATTTCTAGAAGGAATGTCAAAGAACTGCATCTATCGGGTAATTGGACTAGACATGGCTGCTGGTCACGAACATTGGTGCTCTCTGAATGTCCCCAGGGTGTGGACATATCTTGTGGGTCTGGGCTTCCATTCTTCTGGGCTCCTGGGAGCTCAGCTTGGGGGGCAAGGTGGGAGAGGGGAAGCCCATCTGTGCGGACACAGTGTGAGCACCGTCTCCATGAGAGACTGCTCTCCAGCACCCGATTCCCACATCTGAGCAAGGGCAGCACCTGGCTGGCTTTCCCTGAGGCAGGACTGAAGCAGTTGCTGGAACCTGGACTTAGTCTTTTGCTGGCCAGTCTCCCCCTCAGTCTCTCCTCTGTGATCTGAGAAACACGTCTTTGCCAAAGGCCTCAGTGTCACGAGCAGCTTCTCAGCCTTGTCTGGTTACCAGGAGTTCCCTTCCGGATATCTGCACTGGACCCCGGACCGCGACGTACGCGAACACCAAGCACGAACTCGATTGCCTTTTGAAATGCTGGTTTATTCGCACACCACACAAAGCAATACACGAGGTGGCTGGCTCACACTGCACGATCTTACTCTCAGGCGATGAGAGTTGATTGTGAGCAAATACATGGAGTTTCCCTCGCGCTTATATACTCTATATGTTTACAACAAACTTGTTTATGTCTAACTTATCTAACATAAGCACACTACCTAGTTACATCATCAACTTATCTAACATGGGCATACTATCTAGTCATCCTATAGCCAAAACATGTTTACAACTAAAAAGTCACTTAGTTACTGCAAAGTCCAAAACAAGTCCAAAACAAGTCCTTTTGCTGATTCATGTTGTTTATTCATCTTTGATGTTTACTCCTGTCACTCAGTCAGCAGCAAGTGCCGTACCCACCAAAGCAGAAGAGCCCAAGTTTCACTCACCATCACCCTCAGAGGACAGAGGCAGGCCTGGCTCTCAGGCAGGAAGTCTATCCGGTGCTGGGACAAGAACAGGGTGGCACCCTGGTCTCAGGACACCCCCACACAAGAGCTCCAATTCCCGTCTGGTTTCTGCTAGAACTTGAGACCTGTGTCTTCCTGTGGGTGTCACAGAAGGCTTCCCACAACCCTCAGGGCACATTTTTCTCTGACCCTTTGTCTTCAGGTCCCGATTCTATGGACTGCCCTGGGGCAGGGAAGCCATGGAACAAGGCAGAGCCTGAGAGTTGGTGGATCTAAATATTTAGAATGGTCAGATCACAGTGGTTTTATTATAATTACGGCACTATTTATATCAAGCTTGGCTTGCACTGTTTTTTTTCCTGTGAAATGTAACTTTGTGCTTATTTGAATCACCACATGCCCTAGTTGGCTCCCACTCCTACAAGGTGAGTTCACGTGGGTGAGATACATGGACCCAAACTTCTTGGCACCAGGCCACCCCCACTTTACATTTCCCCACTGTCCAGCACAAAGTCACTCCAGTATGGAGTTTAATGGGAAAATGTCTATAGTTTAATTAAACCAGAAACTATTAGAATTATTCCTCCAAGTGTTTGGCAATTAGCTGTTCCAAAATGTTAGCCATTGTAAAAAAATATCATGATTCATTTACTTTTTAGTAGATGCTTAACTAAGACTTTCATTAACTATTATGAAACTTAACCAGGAGATGTCTGTGTTCACAGGAGTGTTTTACCATATTACAAGCTAGAATGACTTTGAACAAAATTGATATAACATTTAGATGTTTTAATAAAAGGAGAAAAAATTAGAATATTTTCCCCTAATGCAGCAACCTTATGTATTCAGGGCAATTCTCCAACGATTAAAGAAAACTTCTTACTAAGAATAAAAAGAAAGGCCTTGAAAAAATCTTCATGTCTCACAAAGATTAAAATTGAGAAATTCGCCTAAATTGATGTTTAATGAAATACAGAAGAGAAATTGGTTGTGGATAGTGCTTTTCATTCCAAGGTATGAAAAATGGCATGGGAAGAGTCTGATGTACATTCCTAGACAGACACACCTTTTAGAGGTACAACCTGTTCAGCTGTCCTGTGCTCGGCCAGCTCTGAGGCTGGGTCTGATGCAGATCCAGAGGTTCAGGCCACAGCAGGCAGGTTGCAATTCCAATCTTCACCAAGGACTAACTCTGCCAAGAACAATCAGGGTCCCTAAGCTTTTCCATTTCATCTGTGCCTGTTTATAAAGGAAACAGTGAGAAGGGAAGGTATGTGGTGCCTGCGGTTAGCAGTAAGTAACGTAGGTGATGCATCACTTCCTTAGCATATCACTTCCTTAGTCCTTGCTGTCAGCATCAATTGCCCGGGTCCTTTAGAGGTCATAGAAAGCAGTCACCAAGTTCTAGACACTCTGCCTTGCTGGGAAAACCGGGCATCGCTATGTCAAAGTTCCTCTCAGACTCACTTCATCTAACATGAGCCTCAGAAGTTCATGCAAGGTCCTCATGGAGTCCTCAGCAGAGTCCTGTCAGGGCTGGGACTAGCCCATTTTCAGGATGGCACTGAGGCTCACCATGCTCTCGCAGCCTGTCTCTGCATGCCCGTCCGGCTGTGTGTCTGGGCAGTGGTTACATGTGCTGCTCCCACAGAGTGTGGGATTAGTACAGCCATCTCTGAGTCTCACATTTCCCATGTTGGCAAGTGGATAGTTTAGGGACATTATCATGTTGGACCTGCAACTATCTCACAGACACTAGCCATGTCCATGGCACTGAAAACAAAGACACATGATTACAAGCGATGCTGAATTTTTTGTTCTTACTTAATTTCACAAGAAGGCATAAAGAAGACAGTCTACTCAGAAGTTCCAGCCATCTTGACCCTGAACTCCCTTTAGCTGGACACCTGTGTACCGGATACTTAAAAAAGGACTCCACATGTCTTTCAAACCAGTGTTGCTGGAAGACCAAGTGGAAACGTGTTCCTATGGACACATAAACTGCTATTGTCTCAGAATGCACTATTTTTTCCAGTCAGCAGAAAACACCATGATTGCTATCACCAGGTTGGAATTTTCTCAGAAACAACTTTTCCCATTGTTGAAAAATTTTTTTAATCCAACGTTCTGCCTGGAATAACATAACACAAGCAGGAATTATGCCAATAATATTATACGCCTTATTTTATTTTGACTAACATGTGTTAATTATATATATTGATGTAATGTGATGTAATATGATTTTTCAATATATGCATTATGCCTTTCCCTTCCTAGCGTCTAGTAATCACTATTCTACCTCCAGGTCCAATGTAGGTTCCACATATGAGAAACAAAAATGTGATATTTGTCTTTCTGTGTCTGGCTAATTTCTCTTCACATAATGCCCTCCTGTTTCAACCATGTTGCTGAACATGACAGGCTTTCATTCTTTGTGGCCAAATTATATTTCACTATGTACATGTGCTGCATTTTCTTTATCATTCATCCATTGAGGAAACTAAATGCATTTCATATTTTAGCTATTGAGAATATTGCTGCCATACACATGGGTATACAGGCGTCACTTCAGTATGTTGACTTAACTTCCTGTGGATATATTCTCAGGAGTGGGATTGCTGGATTATATGGTAGAATGATACTCAGTTCAAGGGACCTCCATCTGCTCTCCTTAAAGCTAATTTACATTCTCATCAGCAGTGCACAGGGTTCCTTTTTATTCACATCCTCACCAACATTTGTTATTTTTGTGTTTTTCTAAAAAAAAAACAAAGCAAAACAAACCAATAGCCATTCTATTATAGTTTGGATGTGAGGTGTCCCCCAAAAGCTCATGTGTGAGATAAAGCAAGAAAGTTTAGAGGATAAAGGAGAGGGTTATGAGAGCCTTAACTCAATAAGTGGATTCATCCCCTGATAGGGATTAAGTGAGTGGCACTGAAGGTGGGTGGGGTGTGGCTGGAGGAGGTGGGTCATTGGGGCACTGCTTTGGGGTATGTATTTTGTATTTTGATAGTGTAGTTTCTTTCTCTACTTTCTGATCATCAGATGAGCTACTATCCTTTGCCACACTCTTCTGCCATGATGCTCTGTGTCACCTGGAGCCCCCAGGAATGGAGCCAGCCTTCTATGGACTGAGACCTCTGAAATGGTGAGCCCTTCAAATAAACTGTTCCTTCCCTACAATTGCACTGGTCAAGTCTTTCAGCCAAAGCAGAGAAAAAGCTAAGACATAAATTGGTACCCAGTGTAGGGTCATTGCTCTGACTAACCTGACCATGTGGTTCAGAAGACTTTGGAGATTCTTGGGATTTGTTGGAGGAATTTTAAGATTTGTAGCAATGCAAGCTGGAAATTCTTTAGACTGTTGTAAGTAGTAGGTCGTTAGACCAAAATAATTCCATTTTGAAAATTAACACCTGCCCACCCAGGCATGACCTTCCTGTTAGGCCCACCCTCAAAGAGTCCCTAACTACCAAACCACAACAAAGACATCAAGTAGCCATCACAGGACCAGAAGGGTTATTGTTCACTACTCCATTGTACCTGAGTATATAGTTAAGAAGTTTTCCCAGCAGGCTGCGTCGTGCCTTGCAGAAGGGCAGCCGGGCAGATATTCTCTGTCAGTAAACCTCTGCTTGACTCAGAGATGTGTCTTTCATGGATGTCTGAGCCAGCTACCTAACAGTAAGCAGAACTTAATGGCCAATTCTGGTGGGAGCTCAGAGGACCAGAATGCCAATGGGCCTGCAAACAGTGAAGACAGGTCTCGAGAGGTTTCAGAGGAAAAGGAGGACTGTGGTAATTGGACTAGAGGCCATCTGTGTTATGTGCTGGCTGAGAAGTTGTCTGTATTTTTCCTGTGTCCTGAGACTTTCTATGAGGCTGATTTTAAAAGCAATGGGCTGTAGGGTATGAGGAATTACGCCTGTAATCCAGCAGCTCCAGAGGCTGAGGCAGGAGGATCATGAGTTCAAAGTCAGCCTCAGCAAAAGTGAGCTGTTAAGCAACTCAATGAGACCCTGTCTCTAAATAAAATACAAAATAGGACTGGGGATGTGGCTCAGTGGTCAAGTGCCCCAGAGTTCAATCCCCAGCACCCTCCTCCCAAATAAATAAATAATAAAAGCAATGGACTTTTTAATCTGGCAGAAGAAATGTATAGACAGCATAGCATTCAGGTGGTGGCATGGATATTGCTGGCAGCTTTTAGCAAAACTTATTGTGATAATCAGGAGCAGAAAGATTTGAAAAACTTGGACTTGAAAAGTAAGAGTAAAACTGGGACTGAGGAAGTTGCCATTGTTAAAGACATTACTGCTACTAAAGAAAAGCCAAAGACTTTGCCCAGAGACAATAAGAAAGATGATTTGAGGGTATCTCAGGAATTAGCAAGACCACACTCATCTCAGACTCTGGGAAGTAAAAGCACAAATTCCCTTAAGAGACCAGGGGGCACCCTTCTTGCACAAGGGGGCCCAGGAAGTTTGTTCAACATGCTCAGGCACCAGGGAAGCTAACTCCGGTGAGATAGTCTTGTTGGAGTTTTAATTTGAATTTCCCTGATGGCTAATGATAGTGAATATTTTTTTAACATTTATTTTTTAGTTGTAACTGGACACAATATCTTCATTTTATTTATGTTTATGTGGTGCTGAGGATCGAACCCAGAGCCCCACACATGCTAGGTGAGTGCTCTACCACTGATCCACAATCCCAGCCCCAGAGTGTTTTAAATTTATTTGTCGACTGTTTGTATATATTTTAATAAGTTTGTATTCAGATCATTTGCCCCCATTTTTAAATTGGATGGATTACTGGTTTTTGTTAAGATTTTTGAGTTCCTTATTTATTCTGGATATTAATTCCTTGTTAGATGAATAATTGGTATATCTCATTTGTCTCTTCAATTTGTTGATTGTTTCCTGTGCTGTGCAGAAGTGTCTTAATTTGATATGACCATATTTGCTTGTATTTGGTTTTGTGTCCTGTCCTTTTGGGGTCAGAGCCAAAACAACATTATCTACACTGAAGTCTTGAAGTGTTTTTCCTATGTTTTTTCCTAGTGGTTTCAGATCATACATTTAGGACTTTGATCCATTTTTTAATATATATATATTTAGTTTTTAGATGGACATAATATCCTTATTTTATTTTTACGTGGTGCTGAGGATCGAACCCAGCGCCCTGTGCATGGCAGGTGAGCGCGCTACTGCTTGAGCCACATCCCCAGCCCTTGAGCCAATATTTTTAATGTGAAAAATGCCTTAATCACTTTACAATGACACTGATTG